GAGGAATCGAACTTGGGTCGGCCATGTTGGCTGCATGCAAGGCAAACTCCCTACCGCTGTGCTATACCGTGCAAGGCAAACTCCCTACCGCTGTGCTATCGCTCCAGCCCATGATAATTATATATAATTACATCAAAATTACATCAAAATTACATCAAAAACATGATAATTATATATAAAATAAAAGATGACCTGGAGAAAAACTGACTTTGAATTTTCTATTTCTGTGTCCTGTTTAAATTTTTTAAATCATGGGCACATACTGCTTTTATTCAATATAGTCTCTACTATTTCTTAAATCATGGTAGAGAAAAGTATCTGCTAACTCAGCAAGATGCTATGAGTATACTGGTAATTTTTGTGAGAAGAAAAGCAAACATTTATGATAAAAATGATCAGAAAATATGCAATTAGAGTTTACTCATCTATAAATTAGAAAAATAATAATACTTCTATAGTGAAGTAGTCTAAATTAGATGCCACTGAAATGAGCAGCCATAGGCCAGCACATGATGAGCACTGAGAAATGGTAGATCTTTTGCCGTTACCGGCACCACCAACAGCATAATTTTTTGGTGCCAAATTGGAGGCAATAATTTCATAAGACAATCCTCACAGTTTAAGCCAGAGATATCTGAGCAGAGCTAGCAAAACTGTAGTTTCAGTTCTCCTGCCTTTTCAATAATAATCACAGGTATTTCAATCAACATCATCATCATCATCACCATCATCATCATCTCTGATTTCAGAGAACAAAGCAAATTCAGGGGCCATGGACAAATTTCAGAGGCAAAGCAAATTCAGGGGCCATGGACAAATAAAGGCTGTATGTGAGTGAGTCAGGGATGCGGGCAGTGGTGGGCAGGATAGGGTAGACAGGCCTGCCTGAGCATCTGGATACAGGGAAACCCAAACCAAAAGTTCGAGAACAGACTTTCTGCGCCCCAGGTGCATGCAGTGGTGGTAGGAATCGCAGAGGTGGCCCAGGAAGCTGTTCCTTTACTGGGTCCCAGGGTCAAGACTCTACTGTGGACAATGGCACTGGGAGGGAGGTCCCAGAGAACAGCCCTGCTCCTTGCACAGAATGCTCCCACCCCTCCGCCCCCTCCCCAAGCTATCCAGGAAGCAGGGCAGGGTGGACCCAAATCAGAGAGAGAACAGGCCAAAGATTGCTCAGCTCCAAAGTGTTGCTGCCTTAACCCTTCATTCTGCTCTGGAAGTCTCAGTGTCTTTGATGGCTTAAGACATCTCCTAAAGCAAAGCATGGACCCAAAGAAGCCGTGATCTCGGGAAGACACCAAAGTGGGCACCCACATCTCCCACTAACAGTGAGACAAGACTCTGTCTCAGAGACAACTGTGGCAGGGTGTCAGCTTCCACCTGCATCAGCAGGCAGGAGACTAAGAAACAAAGCAGGTGGGCGGAAGCCCAGGCGCTCGGCTCTGACCTCCTTCTCTAAGCTCTGCGCACCTTACCTTCATGCTCTTTCTCTACTGTCTTCTCATCATGGTCTGTCCACCTGTGTATCACCATGCCACATTTTTACCATCCCATGCCTTGAAAACAGGCCTTTCCTGCTGTCACAGTAGAGGAAGCAAAGAGAGCAGGCCAGAAGACCACCACAGGCTTTCTGGGAGGAGTCCCAGTCTGAAGCCAGAGAAACGAGCCAGACAAAGAGGCGGCTCATGCATGTGGACCCTGCCTCCCCAGGGCAGGGAGAGGGTATCCGCATCCACCTCCCGCCCACTGCAGTCCCACTCCAGCAGATACCTGGCCATCTGGCTGCACTCTGCATGCCTGGAGCCACTGACTAGGAGGCACAATCTTCAGGCACACACTTCCTGTGGACAATGACAAGGTGCCTCGGTGACTGTCTCACAGGGCTACCTTGTGCCCCAGAGGGCCTTGAAGTAGCAGGACAGAAGTAATAGTCATAAGCCCCAGCTTGGAGCCACACTGCCAGGCTCTGGCTTGAGTCTTCGCCTCTGTCACTACCAGCTGCATTGCCCCAACAAGTTATTTCACCCACCATGCCTTCATTTCCTCTGTGTGCTCTCACAGAGAGGATGCATGGAGAAAATGCATATTAGCACAGGACAACTTGGTAAATGCTGGCAGAGTATGAACTGGGCATAAACACATCCACACACACCTCCCCCCATGCTGACAGAAACTGGCCATTCAGCCCATATCAGAACCAGTGGACACAAAGGTGACAGTGTATTCCCAAATGCCTTCTTGCTACCCTGGCACAGGCGAAAAAGGCAAAAGGAGAAAATGCAGATTCTGAAGGTTGGGGAATGCCCAACCAAAAGAACAGGGAGCCTGCACTGAAGGCAGGAGTCAGGAGATGCACTGAGCTTAGCTTCAGATGATCGTGTGGCCAAGTACAGAAAACAAGGTGTGAGCTGTGTGCAGGCAGGTACACATGGGCATTTAGAAACTGAGCGCTTAGGGGTGCGGGAGGGGGAGGCCAGCAGGGGAGGCAGAACTCTTGCATCTGAGCATTCTCCCTCTGACCTGGCACCAGCAGATGTGGACAGACGGGCCTGGATCAAGCTCCACTGAAGCCAAGGCTGGGCTCACGCTCCAGAGAGCGGCCTGTCACAGGCTGGGTCGGAGCATCTCTGATTGAGGAAGACAGAGAGAAAACAAGGAAAGGCAGTGAGGAGGAAGCAGGGGAGTGGGGCCTGAGGACGACAGCAGAGAGACAGGAGAGTCAGTGAAGACAGCAGAATTCTGACCGCTGTACCCAACACCCATCCCAAAAGTCTCACTGCCAAGACCATGTTAACAACTGTTCCCACTTAGGTCCTCAGAAACAGAGCTGTGGGTGGAAGCAACCACGCGGGATCCTGGGGCCTAGGGCTTGAGCACTGGAAGCAGCCATGTAGGCAGTCACTGGCTGGCATGAGACACAGAGCAGAGTCACAGTCGTGATGATGGCAATCATTTGAGCAAGGAACAAGAGGAGACACTTTACTGAAAAGGAAGGAGGCAGCTGCGACTGAATGCCACCATGAAAATGACAAGGCCCATTTCCTAGGTCACTAATGACCTTCCTCCTCAGGTTGGAATACATAGCAATGAAGATTTTTTCCCCAGCTGCACACTGGGGACTGAACGTTCACTTCCCCTTCACGCCCCTCTAAACCCCCTGAAATAACAGGATGATCAGCACTAGGGGAATGAATGTCTCTGAGATAAATAAAGTAAAATCAACAGATGTTTCGATTTACTTAAAAGTGTTCAGCTGTATTTCTCTGGCAAGAATTGGGGTAGTAGTTGGGTTAGAGAGAGAGACAGTACAGGGGTTAAGGCACTTTCATACATGCACTGCCCCCAGTTCTATCCCTGGCACTGTATATGCCAGGAGTGATCCCTGAGACCAGACACAGGACTAATTCCTATGCACCAATGGGTGTGGTCCCCCAAAAACAAAACAAACAACAAAAGAGTTGGTGGTAGTGACACAGTATAAAAGAGAATGCTTAACTGCTTTTTTGATGTGAAGAAAAAATAATACCTGTAAATAACCTTGCCAGTTGTACAAATTATGTGAGGGGACTTATATGAGAAGGCTTAAGGGAGGGCAAACATGTATACATGTGAGAGATGAGCTATAAGAATCAACATATCCTCTGTGTGAAGCAAAGCATGCCAAAAAGTAACCCCCAAATAATGATATCACACATTATTGAGACTATCCTCCCATTGTTCATCGATTTGCTCGAGCAGGCCCAGTAACGTCTCCATTTTTTTTGAGACTTGCTGTTACTGTGTTTGGCATATTGAAATCGTCATGGATAGCTTGCCAGGCTTTGCTGTGCGGGCAAAATACTCTCGGTAGCTTGCTGGGCTCTCCGAGAGGGGCAGAGGAATCAAACCCGGCTTGGCCAGGCTGGCTGCGCGCAAGACAAACACCCTACCGCTGTGCTGTCGCTCCAGCGACTATTGATTATTGAGACTAACTCCCAAATAATGGTTTCGCGCATTATTTAAGTAAGTTGAGGTAAATAGCAGATAAAGCAGCTTTTAGATGAAACAGAACATTTTAACTCCTGCAGAATTTAAAGAGAGTGGTCCTGAAGTACAATCCTTGGTATGAAAAGACAGACTGGAGAATTCTTGCCAAATAATAATATCTATCTTTGGAAGTCACATTCATAAATGAGGACTCTAAGAATGTTCCGCTATGAAATATAATGCCTTGGGGTCGGGGAGATGGCTCAAAGGATATGAGCATATGCACATGGGACACTCTATCTCTGACACCACAAGGGCCATGGAGCACTGTTCAGGTGTAGCCCAAAATCCACCAAGAGAAAAGAAAAAAGCAGTATTGCACCTTGTTGTAATATAGCTGGAAATGAAGGGTGTCATGTTAAATGAGAAGGAGAAAGATGAGAATATAAAGAATATAAAGAAACAAACAAGGAAACAATGTTCAATGAAAACAAATCTTTCAACTGATGATAGAACTGAGGGTGCCAAGCTGGTGGGGGGGTGGGGTGCAAGGGGAGAAAGGGGTTGGGTCCTAAGGACAGTGGTGGAAGAATATCAGCACCTTTGGTGTGTTGCAACTGGTGTGGTGCGACTGAACCGCTAAAACTTATGTAAACAGTTATACTCTTATAAATGTTGCCACCGTTAAAAAAAAATGAAATAAATAAATCATGTCCACAGAACACTTTGATCAAAACAGTAATTCTTAAACAACAGGAAAGATTTATTTCAAGACATAGCTCAATTTACTCTTCCCCCACAGAGTCCTCTCAGATCTTGTCTGTGAAAATTACTGTCTGGACAACCCATCTGCCAATTAATCACCTTCCACTTGGCAATGAGCTGAATGTGTCTCTTGTTAATTATCTTTCCACCTGTGTCTCATCTCCCTGGCTAAATTATAACTGCTGCACAGCACAGCGCCATCCCCATCATCTTGGAGAAGTGTGTGTAGACCCGGTGATTAAGCCCACCCCAGTGCAACCTCTCCTTACCTGCATAAGCATTGGCCTGCTGCAGAAGGTCTGTGCAGGTGTGTACGTCAGCAAAGGCGCGGATGCCCAGACAGTTGGTGGGGTGCAGCTGGGACTGCAGGAAGTCACAGCAGTTCTGCCGAACATCCATGAGCTGCAGCAAGCTGGCAGCAGGAAGCAGCACCTGGAGAAGGCAGTGAGAACACAGCCTCTGAAAGGTGCCTCCGTAGATAGGCCTCCCCTCTTCACAGCGCCCCGCTCAGGCCCCTGCCCCAGGAGTGTCTCTGCAGCGACTGCAAGCAGGGCCACATTTCATGGCTGGGCCTGCTCCGGCTGGAATCCCACTCCTCTGCACTTCCTGTGGCCCTGCCCTCCCCCCAATCAACCGGTCCTCTCTAAGCCCAGAGCCCAGCAGCACCTTCTTCCTGGTGGTGCTCCAAGGTCCACACGTGGCAACGGGGTCGGCGACTTGCGAGGCAAGCCCCTTAGCCCCTGTGCCATCTGTCTGAAGGAGCGGGCCCATGAAGATGACTTTGAGAAACAAGACCCTCAGGAACTGTTTGTATCGCACTCCACCGTCTCCCTCTCCCTCCAAATGATACGTTGAAGTCCAAACCCCCAAAGTAACTGCATTTGAGATTGGTCACATGAGGAGTTAATGAGGTTAGAGGGTGAGCACCCTTGCTAGTACGGGAAGAGATACTGGGGCTCTCCGCCAGGCAGAACTTGGAGAAAGCGACCCGAGGGCTGGGAAGATCAACATGGATCTGGGACTCTGAACTTCCAAATGATGAGAAAATTCATTTCTGGGGTCTAAGCCCTAGATTTTTCAACAATGGGTCACAGCCCCAATTGGGTGGAGGGGTTAAAATATTTTTTAAATTTGTGTTAAATTTCCTCATGATTTATTATCAGTAAAAGCTTGATTTGTGTGCCTGTTGCATGCTCCTACAGAGACAGGGTAGTATAAAAAATATCACTGGCAAGGAGGGGCTATGAGTGTGGAAAGTTCACAAAGCCCAGTGAATAGCCACACTGCACTGTGGTCCGGGCAGTTGGTTGGTCTATATCCAGTGGTGCTTAGGGATCAGAATGGAGGGTCAGTCCCAGGGGGCCTGGGATGATGTGATGCTGGGGATAGAACCCAGGCTCCTTCCCACAGAGCATGTGCTCCCATCCCTTGAGCATCTTTTTGGCCCCCAACCAAGCTTCAGTACTTTTTTATGGTTGCCCAAATCAACAGGGTTACTGGTTCTCTGACTTGACCTCACACCAGAATTGTCTAGAGAATTCTAGGACAGCCTTCAAAGATTTAAACTCCACAGAAATGTAGTGTGACCCAAACAGAGGAGGTGTCTGAAGGGGCTCCGAGGTATGGACGAGCCTAAGAGCCAAGGCCAGTGCTGCTGTCCTTAATCAGAAAGGCCCTTAGCTGACTTCCCACTTACTGGCGCCTGCATGGAGTCACGGAGGCCTTAGTGATGGCCATGGGCTCGGGGACTCAGAGGTCATCTGGACAGGCAGGCTTGCGCCACTTACAGAATTCAGAATCTACTGGAACAGGAGGGCCATCTGCCAATCCCGTAGGGCCCTGGCGATCCCACTTGGCAACAGGTGAGGGGAAAGAGAGCTTCGGGTGCATTCTCAGAGAGAGGACTGAGTTTCCTTTGAAAAGGTCACAGGACACATGAGCATTTACACTTATTTTGGAAGGTAGGAATAGGCACAAATGTTTTTCTGAAAAGCCAGAGAAAACTGGCTGCAGCAGGCCCAATGGGCGCTCCCTGCTAGCCCCAGTGTAGGCTCCCTGGACATTCCCCACAGCTGCTGGTGCCCGCCCCCTGCTCCACTCTCACAAGAGGACAAGTCCCAGCTCTGCCTCCCTCGCCACTTTCCAAAAAGAAATGTAGGGGTCTAAAAACCTGAGGGGAACAGTTTTAAAGCTGCTTCGCCTCCAGCATCTATTTCACCCTCCAACAACTCAAAGTCCCGAGCCTCTGTTTTCTTGCACCCTCTGACTCTGAGAGCATCCGGGCAGCTGGGCTCCACCTGTTCCTACCCCACACAGCGTGCCCAGGAAGACACGGGCTGAGTATGCACTGGCTTTCTTCATTCAGGAAACTACCACTAACAATTATAATAATAATAATAGTCTAAGTAATTTACATTCTGGACACTGAGCTCCTGAAACAGCTCTCAGTTCTCAACCTTGGCCGCCTTCATTTTCATATGCTCAGGCCAAAAAATGCCCACAGCCATCCTCAGGCCTGTCCCTCCACATGGGTAAGCAGCTATCCCTGTCAGCCTGGCAGAGAGCTTCCCCAGGACACCAAGTGTGTGGCAGACCACTGTACCCTGAGCCCCCACTTGGCAGTCAGGCCCCGGAACTAGACATCTGATCTCAACAAGGAATGTTCTTCTAGCTTCAGGCATGAACTTTTCCCTCACTGCAGCTTTGTTCTACAAAACGTTTCTCTGCCTCCTCCCACACCATCTTTCTTCCACTACCCTTATGTCCACAACAGGATAGTAGTAAGTTAGGACTGTGCCCTTGGTATTTTCGGAACCACTGAAAATTCCAGAGAAGGAAAAAAATAAAAATCACTGGCTTTGGAGAGTTTCATACTGTGAGTGACCCCAGCCAGGCTCCAAATCAAACCTAAGCTCCAGCCACCAAGTGCCTTGGTCCCCACTAAGCGACCATTAACAGTGAAACTCAATTAACCTGTGAGCTTGCTCTGGCTGGCCAAACAGATGCCAGGAGTAGATTAGTCTCTGCCTGCTTAGTTAACTGCAGAACTATTAACCATCCCGCTGAACACATACCAGAAATGGAAGGCTGTGTTCCAAACCCCCAAATGACCTCCATGACACCCACTCCCAGCTATGCACCCAAGAGGGACACAAGCTGGTCCACCTTGCTGGGTTGCTGAACACTCCTCATTCCTGGCAAACCAGATTATTGCTCCCCACTGTGGACCAGGAACAACAAATTGGTTCCGGGGGAGGCCTGAGAGAGGATTAAGGAAATGCTGTCCAGGACACACTGGGAAGTTCCCACAGAGTCAGGTGGAAGGAGAGGCCACAGCCAGCAGCCTTGGCAGAGAGGGCTCCTGCACCCCCAGCCAGGCCAGGCACATATACCTCCCCATCTCACCACAGCCACACTGGCATCCTTCAGTCTAGTTTCTCCAGCTTATGACACGCAGCCAGAGAAATAAAATAACAAATACCTCCTGAACACCTTACACTTTCAACTGGTAAAACCACTCTGCATAGAACTGTGCACCCTGGGTAGTTCTTTCAACTTCCCTGCCATTCACAAAGCTCACTTAGTCGGCAAAGATGTCCACCTCCCCATACCCCCATCCTGTTCAGGTCCACTTCTAACCCAAAGAGTTCCGAGCTCCCTTCCTAAAATGAAAGGGGCTGGTAGTTTCTCTCATGGCTCCCTCCCCTCTTTGATCTCCCACTGCGAACAGGAATGAGTCAAAGGCCCTTTTCTGCCCACTACCTGCTTCAGACAGGAAGGTGGGAAGTAAAGACTAAGAAGTCCGGGTGTGGAGGGAAGGTCTGGGGCTGCGAAACACTCCCCGCTCAAAATCCGAGCCTCAGGGACAGATCCTATAAGACTCTGGGAGGCAGGAATGAGATGAACAAAAACAAATACCCACAGACCAAGGAGAGAAAAGGGAAAAACATCCCTAAGGTAGCGGCCTCGCTTCCCTCTCGGAATCAACAAGGGCTTGGAGAGGATTTCCCCTTCTCTTATCTGGCCTGCAACTCTGCTCGCTCAAGCAGCAGCAGTGACCAGAGTACTAGGCAAAGGCCAAGCTCCCCCGGGTCCCGGCCTCTGAAGCCGAACTGCCTAGGCTCTGGGAAGAGGAGGCTGCGATCAGAGGAGGAGAGAACCCTCACGAAGATGGAAGATTACCTGAACTGGCAAAGCTATCCCCTCCTTCTGCCATCTCAGTACTGTGATATTTGGAAAACAAGCCCAGGAATGGCCCTCAGTAAAGCGTTTCTCCCTCCAACTTAGAAAAAAGAAGGGGGTGGGGGGATCTGTGCAGGCTGGGCTTTATTTTTTTCTCTCCCTCGGATAGCATGAAAACACAGCAGAGGATATCCCGTCACAGCGTTTGTTTCCTTTCACAAAAACAAAAGGAAATGCCCTGCTTCAGAAAGCACCCACTCCTGGAATCTCAGTAGCGGACTGCCCCAGCCTCTGCCCCCGCCACACACAGTGGGCCTTGCTGCCAGCCAGAGCCGTGCTTTAACCACTGTGCTAAAGCAAGGGAAGAGGAAGAGGCAAGGGAGAGGGTGGGTGGGGGAAAGGCGAAGAGATGAGCAAAACACTAGGGAACTAGCACTGTGAATAAGTGACACAGAATTTTGACTTCTCCACTTGCCAGTCATATGACTGAGAATAAATTACTTGACCTCCCTTGTCTCTGATTCCTCAACAGTAAAATGAAAATTAAACTTATATAGTCATTTTTATTTTGGCTTTTTTGGGTCACACTCAGAAATGCTCAGGGGTTACTCCTGGCTCTGGTGGTGCTCAAGGAACCATATGGGATCCCAGGTTCAAACCCAGGTTGGTCGTGTGCAAGGTAAACACCCTCCCTGCTGTACTATTACTCCAGCCTGTAAACTGATAAAGTCTTAAGGCATATTGTGCAGAGCTTGTGAGATAATAGTTAAAGCAGTTCACATTAGTATTTGTTACGTAGTTAATTTTTTTTTCCTTACATCAGTTCAATTTTTTCATCCTGCTATATACTGGAGGTTGAACACAAAGACTTCTCATGCAGGCCAGGTCTAGCCCTTTTGTTTTCATTTTTATTAATTGCTCGAGGTAAAGGTAAAGGCCCTCTCGTTGATCGTCGATTTGCTCGAGCAGGCCCAGTAACGTCTCCATTGGAGACTTTGTTGTTACTGTGTCTGGCATATCCAATACTCTCGGTAGCTTGCCGGGCTCTCCAAGAGGGGCGGAGGAATCGAACTCGGGTCGGCCATGTTGGCTGCTTGTAAGGCGAACGCCCTACCCGCTGGCTAAAGCCAAGATTCTGATCACTCACTTGTCAGGAAACTTGAGCTCACCACACCACAAGGCACAGTGAGGGGGAGAGAGATGGCTTCATCAACCAGGTCTTCCAGTGACTGACAGGTTCCTTAGACCATTTGAGCATCAGGTTTTTTCAAACAAAAACAGAGGATCCTAATAGAAACTTCCACTTGTGAGGATGAGAGCTGATTTTTGATTCCCCAAAATGCACGTAAAGTGGCCAAGATGCATTTAGCATAAGATGAGTGTATGAAGTGTCCATTTTGCCAAACATTGCTGCCCCCAACCCCATCGAAGGGTGACCCAGTCTCTCCAAAGGCCTGTAATGGGGAAGAGATGAAGGGCACCACTCCATCCTCTTAGCCAAACATACCCAAAACTAGTCTTGAGCCTATCCCTAAGGCTCTGAGGAGGATCCAAGGCCTCATGGTCACCACCTCTGGGCACTAATCATTCCATGGACATAACCAGTCCTAACTTCACACATCACAGAGAGAGTTGTGGACGCTGAAACTCGAAGGAAAATGATGCCTAAGGTTACCAGGTCCTCAAACAGTGTTCCTGCCTCCCATGTTGCCCAGCATCTCTTTCCTCTCACCAGGGTTACAATGAAATAACATGTCAAAAATGTTATTTGGGGACCTGCTAAATTGTCTTCAGATTCTTGTGAGTCACATTCTTATTCAGACTCTTTCCTCCATCCTTCTTTTTCACCTGACCAATCCACAGTTTCAATGGAGAAAACAAAGGGAAAGGCATCGTTAATAGATCTTATTGCAGAGCCAAAGCAATAGTACAGTGAGGTAGGGCATTTGCTTTGCACGTGGCCAACCTGGGTTTGATCCCCGGCAAAAAGCAAAGCAAACAAACAAAACAAAGTAGGTTGACATCTAGCATTTTTCGTTAGAGTTACCAAGGATGTAATTTTTATTGTAGGTCTCTATATTTACATAATTCTTAAAAGCATCTATGAATTCAGGAGCCAGAGCAACAGTTCAGTGGGTAGAGGGCTTGCTCTGCATGCAGATGACCTGGGTTCCATCCCCAGCACCCGATATGGTCACCCAAGCCCTGTCAGGGTTGATCCCTGAGCTCAGAGTCAGGAACAAATTTTGAGCACCAGGGATAGCCCCAAAACAAACTGAAACAGCACTTATGATCTCAAATATGATAATCATCATCCAGTTGAAATTTTTCCAACATATGCTCTTAACACTCATTTTATACTATTAGTTTCCACTTACTATTACATGCGGTTGACCCAGGTTCGATTCCTCCATCCCTCTTGGAGAGCCCAGAAGGTATCAACAGTATCCCGCCTGCACGGCAGAGCCTAGCAAGCTCCCCATGGCATATTCGATGTGCCAAAAACAGTAACAACAAGTCTCACAGTGGAGATGTTACTGGTGCTTGCTTGAGCAAATCAATGAACAACAGGACGACAGTCTACAGTGCTATTACCATTTCTGCCCAAAAGTCACTGGGCTAATGAAATTCTTCTACTAGACCTAAAGTGTAACCATTGCATTGCCTGTTCATTCTGGCTAGAAAATACAAGAAACGAAATGGCTCTGTAATCTACTGTATACAAAACAGGTCTTCACATTAAAGGGGCAGGAGGAGAATTAGACCAGGTCACTGTAGAAACTATACAACCTAAGGGTCAGTCCAGGAAGCAGAGATGAAAGCAGACTACTCCTGGGGCAGGTTCTGCAGATCCCAATGCAGTGTGTCACAGACCCTTGACGTGCATGAACTTTGACTCCTTATGGGTAACCTCACACCCATCTAATTCCCACTCACCTGGAGCCCTCAGCTCGAATCCTTTCCCCTTGCTATTCTCTCTGAGTGAACACCACATTCCTTTCCTTTAACACATGGATGCTGGCACCATATTTGTGTTTCTTTTGGTATGGCAGCTTCATTAATAAATCATATTTTCTTTTAATAAATACAAATTAGATATTGATGTTATCAATAAGTAAACTAATTTTCAATCAGATGCAATTTTTCTATTTACCAAACCAATTTAACCAACTATTGGATATATCTGGTGGTATAGTCTGGCCCATGTGGCATCAAAGTGTAAGCCATGGGGTTAGACGCTGTCTCACAGGACATCCATGGGTGAGCCACCAGTCTGTTACAGGACTTTTTACTGGATGTGTGCAGAAACACTGCTTGTGTGCTTATCTTATTGAGCAGCTAGATGTCGTCACCCCCAGAAGACAGACTCCCTCAAGGCAGACAACAGCTCACCACTGCTCTCTATTATAATCTTTCTATCTCACAGGTGACCCTAACAGAAGAGACTTGAACCTTTGAAATGACTGGAAAGAAAACCCATTGATGAAGGTGGTCTCCTGGATGCCTCGGACACTAGGAAAGGGGTAGTAATGTGTGTATAATGGATGTGATGCAGCTACCAGGGAAGAGGACAGCCTGAAGTTCTGAATGAAGTGTGGACAGAACCGGAGAGCACTGTGGTAAGCGAAAGAAGTCAGAGGGAGGAGAATTCTGTATTTCACTCACCAGTGTAGAAAGAAACAAAATAAGGCTGGTTATAAAAATGAGATTATCCAGCAGTGGGGTCCTAGGATATTGGTATGTCAGGGTGGAAAAAAGGTAACATAAGGATCACAATGGAAAGTCTCAGGCCCTTCAGTGGTGGTGCGGTACAATAACATGTTCATCAAATCCAAAACCATGAATGTTAACACTATTATAGCCCTGTTACCTCAACTACAGTAACGTTTAAAAAAAAAGTTAGAAAGGAATGGGAATGTTCTGGACATGGGAAACAGTTATGTCGGTCACTAGAGCAATGTCTTCCCCACAAATTATAGCACTGTCCTCCCGATGTTCATCAATTTGCTTGAGCGGGCACCAGTAATGTCTCCATTGTGAAACTTGTTGTTACTGCTTTTGGCATATCAAATACGTCACGGGTAGCTTGCCAGGCTCTGCCGTGCGGGCAGGATACTCTCAGTGGCTTGCCAGGCTCTCCAAGAGGGTCAGAGGAATCGAACCCGGGTTGGCTGCATGCAAGGCAAACACACTACCCGCTACGCTATTACTCCAGCCCTCCCCACAAATTACAAGGTAAAATTTTACTTTTAGAAAAGAAAAAAAAAAAACCTTGCGCATGACATGTAATTCCCATCTCTGTAAGTACTAAGATCTTAAAGGACAAAAAATCGCATATCCTGTACCAGAGGTTAATGCTGAGATTTGTAGGTAAAAGGAAGAAATGGCACAGAATGCCATTCTACCCGTGAGGTATTCGATATGCCAAAAGCAGTCCCCAAGACTCAGGTGTGGTGACTGGTACCTCCACGTGCTTAGAGGCTGTCCACAGGGTAACGTGGAGTAAGAACCAATCTGATCAGTCACTCAAACACACAATTCCTGTGATGGGTCGACGAGTAGGGAGATGTGGGATCACTGGGCTTCTAGTTCTTCCTTCACCATGAATGTGAACCAAAACAAGAGGAAGTTTTTCTGTCCCAAGGCCCAAGCCCTTTCACAACTATGAGGGTGTACAGGGTATGGGCACCATGGTCAAAGAACCACAAGTTGGAGAGTTATTCACTCACTTATTGGCTGGCATTCCAGGGGAACATGCCCAATCTTTTTGTATCTTGTATTAGGAGCTAAGTTTCCACGAGAGTTATGTGCAAGGGAGCTGGGAGGCAGTATATAGCCAGAGGATGTGAGACACAAGCTCTAGGATAGGGCTGAGTTTACCTGCACATTTTCCTCCGTCACCTCAATCTCGGCTGTATAGATGTAGTCAATGAGCTTACTCAGAGTCTGTCCATCCACATCCTTGATTTCAATCTTCTTGGCTTTACTCTCAGACATGTCACCTGAAGTTCCAAACAAATAAAAAATGGTGTGAACTTGCCCATGGCCTCCTGTCCTGCCCACGAAGATACTGACTGCTCCAGGGGGTAGCAGAAAGGGAGTCAGACACAAAGGAGGATTAACCAGCTGCCAATCAAGGTCACATCAACTCTGGGCTGGTAATGACCTACAAGCCCAATTCTCAGCATTCCCTGCTTCCTATGTTGCCCATTCCATTTTAGAGGCAGATTTGTGAACAAGAAGTCAATCATCCAGTACTAACTGTCAATGTTACACAATCCAGGGAAAATGGATAAGATATACTCCTGTTCTCAAGGCAAACATGGTCCAGTAGGGCAGCTATATAAAATTATTTGTAGACAGAGATGATAATAATAACAAAGCAGAATGTTACCTCCTAATTTTCACAATACTAAAAGAGGTTTCCTATAGTGTTCCCATTTTATAGACCAAGAAAGAGGCCCATTTGGCCTGTTGCCTCTGGAGGCTCAGGGTCCACCACCTTCCAGAGACCAATGGATAGCCAGGCGGGGGCCCGCAGTGAGGAGACATGTGGGGCCTCATAGGATGGGGGGCAGGCCAGCCCTTTCCTCCCCCGCCCCAATGAGTCCCTGAGTCACTGCCCACGAATGAGCCCTCTGGCTTCTCAACAAGGGCTTAAATCATGATCCCAGAGACTCAGAAGCAAATCTCTGAACCCAGAGACTTTTGGAAGAAATCCCTCCAGATTTAATTTTTAAGATATCAGAATTTCAAAATTGCTTGTATACTATTCATTGTCAGCAATGGAGGACAGGTTGTCTAGTGTTGCCTTTTCATTGGATGTGAATGTTGGGACAAAGTTCCAAATAATAATGGTGGATCTGTTGTCGAAATATTGAATGTAATCAAAGTAGAGAGAGAGTAATGTGGAAACCATCTGCCACTCAGGTAGGGGAGGGGATGGGATGGGGGCGCATCCTGGGGTTTTTGGTGGTGGGATATGTACACTGGTGAAGGGACGGGTGTTTCATCATTGTATGACTGAGCAAGACTGAAAGCTTTGTAACTGCTCTCACGTGATTCAAAAAAATTATAAACAAGAAAGAAAGAAAGAAAGAAAGAAAGAAAGAAAGAAAGAAAGAAAGAGGCCCAGATGGATAAGTAATTCTGTCACATCTACCAGAGAGCTGGGCTGTGCCCAACTCCATTGTAAGTCATTATAACATAAAATGGCTAAGCTATACCAAATGCCAAGAACACAGAAGACGAATAACAAACCCCAGTGAAGAAGGCAGGCTTTTAAGTCCAAGATCACAACTGAACTGGGTATTAAAGTATAATGCCCATGTTGTTACACTGGCAGCAAATGTGAGGAAGGATGAGCTGGATATAAGAACCTACATGACAAAGACAGGAAAGGGCCAAGGGCAGGGGGAGGGACATGTCACAGTCGGGGATGAGGAGAGGTTGGCATGGCTGGTACATTGAGTGACAATGAGGAAAAAGAAGCTGAGAAAGAGGGGTCCAGACTCATGGATACCTGAGTCAAGCAAGTGAGTTTGCAGCAAAAGGTTTGAAATGGGATGACATCAACAGATGGGAATCTGTGAATGAAATTTTGGGTGTAAGGTGGCAACTGGATCAGAGGCAGAGAGACCAGAAGGCCCTAATAATAATCCAAGAAAGTGAGGACGAGGACTATAGGGAGGGTTATAGCCACACTACATTCCCCAGTCCTAAGGCCCCTTTCTTCAGCCTGCCCACCACTGACAGTGCACAAGGTCCCTGGGAGTCAGGCTATTGTGAGAGCTGGAAAGATGACACAAAGGGCAAGAGCACATACTTTTACAAGCATGAGTTCTCAGTTTCAATCCCTGGCACTGCATGTCCCCTGAGCACCACTGGGTATAGTCCTGGTGGTTTCCAGCCCCAGTGGGCTTAAGAATGATAGCATTGCCTGACCCACGCATTGAACCATCCAGTGCAGTTGACTGAGACTTGCCAGATGGGCCCTTCGGTCCCCAAAGTATGGCTCAGGAGCTCCTCTAAACAGACACAGACACATACAGACACACACTCACACAGGGCTGCTACTTCTGAAGGAAAATCTGCATGTGTCTTTGTAGATTGAAATAAAGGGCAAGCTAACTGCAGGAACCAGGAATTCAGAAGCCCTTATGAGAGTGTGAAAACATCCTAGGCGGTTGTTTTTTCTGTGGAATTTCCGTTCTGAGCCAAGAAAATAAATCCCAATACTGCATGTGGGCTGTGACGCCCACCTCCAAGCTGCATGGCCGCACAGGATTCCTCCCGTGATGTACCGCTCCCACCCTCACACCAGCATGATGTGAATGGCTCTGAACAGAGAGGGAAATGAAAACCAGTCCAAACCCTACCGGCACCCTTCACTGCCACATTCGGTACACAAGACAGCCCCATTCTGATCCCTATTTTGAGACCTGGAAGAACTCTTAAGGAGTTATAGGTAGGATGAAGAGGTGAAGGAAAGGAAGAGAAATCTCTCTCTCTCTTCATCTCTCTCTCTCTCTTCCCCAATTCCCTCCCTCTCCCATTTATTCCAAGGATAAAAACATAAATACAAGGAAGCCAGAGCATCTCTCTAAACAGACATTTCAAAACTCATTACTAAGACTTTAGTTGGCAATTACAATGCTAAAGATAATCAAATAGAGTCAATTCTTCGTTAACAACTTGAAATTTTAAACAAAAATCAGGCTGTAGATATACTTCAAGTGGCAGAGCATATATCTGGCTTGTGTAGGGCCCTGGGTTGGATTGTCTCCACCACATGATCCCACAGTACCGCAACATGTGGCTCTGGATGCCTCTCAGGACTTTCTGTCCCAGATCCCCACTAGGAGTATCCCTGAAACTGCTGTGTGTGGCCCCTATAACAATCCTTTACAAGAACACAAACAAGGGCCAAAGTGATAAAGAGTGGGTAGAACATTTGCCTTGCACACAGCAGACCCAGGTTTGAAGCCAGCACCACATATAGTCCACAGACCCCTGCCAGGAGTGATCCCTGAGCACAGAGCCAAGAGTAAGTCCTGACACCAGGATGTGCCCCCCCCACCCCATCCTGGCAACCAGAAAACAAAAAGAAAAAAAGAAAAAATAAACCAAAAGTCCCAGCCACCTGCTTGCATGATTAACCCAGAGTTTCACAAGCTCTTGTGTGGGCATAAAGGAGGAGTATGGCTGACTGGAAAACCCTCATGGAATTCGTGTTTGTGGGTTATTTTGTAATACTGCAATAAACAAAGAAAAATTCTGAAACTGTATGAAAATATTTTTATATATGGCAATAAGTTTGATTCTTCTTTGATGGCTAATAGATTACTATTATCAGCATTGTAACATTAATACATACATTTTCTAGGTGATAGGACTTTAATAAGATTTTTTTCCTGCTCCTTTTATGCAATTCTGAAATTTCTTATATTCTATGTTCAATGTTTTCTATGTTCAAAACTTCAAAAAGCAAGAGAAAAATTATTAAATAAAACCCCTAAGGCTTTGGTAGTGAGTGGTGAATCCTATACACATACACATTAACCTATACCCCTAAAAATTCTATAATGCTGCAAACAAACGGTAAATCTATTTAAAGAAGGTTGAGGCTTAAAGCAACCACATTTATATGGTTCTTCTAATTTTAAAAAATGCATCATTTAAAATTATATATATGCAGGGCCTCAAAGACATACATTTCCTAAAATATTCCCTTATAGGAAATGGAAACCTGTGAGTCACACAGACTAGTAGAACCCAGTCTTCTTATCACTTGTGTTCCAGTAGAAATGAGCTATACAGAGAATTCAGCTTAAATAGGTCTTGGAAACAGTCATACTACTTCTGCTATGTGTACCTGAGCTTCTGCATAGGGTTCATAAGCATTATTTTATTTTATCCTGCAGTAATTCCTGGAGATATATGTTACTTCCATTTTACAAATTCTATTTTCAAAACTATCTGTACACAGATAGTAAAAAACAGGGCTAACTCCACAACTCGTCTCATTCTTAATAAGTCTCTTTGTAATTTACATGAAGCTCTAACTGATAACCATGATAAATATTCCCATATTCCAGAGAGATAATATAGGTGTTAAGGTACTTTTCTTGATTACAGGTAACCACAGTTCAACCTGGCACTGTTATGGTACTCAAGCACCACAAAGTATAAGGTAAATCCCGTTCCCCACCCCTTGCTATAGGAAGGAAGGAAGGAAGGAAGGAAGGAAGGAAGGAAGGAAGGAAGGAAGGATGGATGGAAGGAAGGAAGGAAGGGAGGGAGGGGGAGGGAAAGAGAAAGAGAAAGAAAAGAAGGAAGGGAGGGAGGGAGGGAGGAAGGAAGGAAGGAAGGAAGGAAGGAAGGAAGGAAGGAAGGAGAGAAAAAGAAAGATTGTTATACAAGGTTTTGGTTCAAATTCTTTAGATAAGTAATATCTAGAAAGTAAGAGCCAAGAGGGTTAAGAGGGTTTGTCAAAATACCCTCAATACTGGACAAAGTAGGGGGTATGGTGCCACCAGCAGGTCAATCTGTACCTGTGAGGCAAGTGCATCAGCAGCCTGATGGCGCATTCAGACTTCCAGATACCCCAAAATTGATGCTGTGCCTTTGGTCAGACCCCAAAAACTTGGGGCAAAGTTTACCAACAAAGTAAACGGCCAAAAGTTAGGTATGTGGGAAACACACCCACAAACCACCTCCGGCTCAGCTATATAATTAGAGGCATGGTCTCTCTGGTTCCTGATTGAACTGCTTAATGGCCATGATCCAAGAGACTCAGAAACAAATCTCAAAACCCAGTGACTTTTGGCAGAAATGCGTCCCGTCCCTGCAGTAGGTTACCAGTGCTGGGCCAACCCAGGTGGGAATAGGTTTTGTGCCTTGGCCTGTTCCCCCCTGGCGGCCCAGTGGCCACCATCCTTCAGAGGCCACTGGACAGTCAGGTTTGGGCCCCCAGTGACGAGACTCGCAGGGCCTCACGAGA